AATGATGGTAAATAGCCATCTAGCAAATGACTGCTCATGGCAAAATTAGGTTTGGTGTTTTTCTGATCTATTGTAAAACATGCAATTTTCTTTACAGAACCAACAGTCCGTGCAGAATTAATGGAACAGGTACCTCATATTGCCATATTCTGCCAAGAGAATAGACCTTGTATTCCTTATGCTTTCTCCAAATACCTGTTGCCCTTTATGGTTAGATGCCTTGCAGACCCTAACAACCAGGTAAGGCCTTTTCCTTTAATGGATTCTATCCTTCAGTTTTAATTGAGGTTGTTTAATTGTGTTTTCAATTTGTTGTAAACTTATTGATCACAGCTTAACTCCAAGGTCCTAACTTGTGCAGAGTTAGCATTTGATGGCTTCCAGCAGTCATCCAAAACTTCAACCCTGGGACCCATGTTTTTCTGAAATGAGCATTGCCACCTGATTTTTGGGCTGTGTGCTTCCGGTTATCTAATATAGGCAGTCGACAATTTGTAAGCAATTCTGTGGTTTACTAGGCTTGTTAGGAAGCAGCAGTTTAAATACAACAAAATCTTTTATTTAAATAAAGTATACAAGGTTCATATTTGGAAATGGTTCATTGAAACTAGAGAACAAACAGGCTGTTGGTGTGGAACATTTTGGTCTTGTTAAAGTTGTGGGGGCAGACACCGACTGTCTGTCGAGGTGTTTGGGAACTCCTCCCTGGGTCTTTATCTTATACTCGTCTAGCTTTCTTCTACCTGTGAGGACAGCCAATGAAGACAACTCTCTGGTGACCACCTGATGAGAGCTGCTGCCTTCAAGGTCTACTTGATGAGGACTGGTCACTGAGACCCCCTTCCCCCTGCCAAAGACATACTGTTGTATCACATTTTTAGGGACAAGGTAACATGTGCTGCATCAATCAGTTGATTGAACCCTTTTGCTCAATGGTCATGGGTCAGCCACTCATGACATTGGTTATCCCCTTGCTGCTGCTGCTCCTCCTCCTCTTCCCTCCCCCCTTCCCCAAAAATGTGATACAACAGTATGTCTTTGGCAGGGGGAA